CGAGGAATTATCTAGGCCAGTGGTTCTGAAACTATGGTCACTGGTGCAACAGCAGCATCACCTGGGATCCTGTTAGAGATGCAAATTATTGAGCCCCACCCCAGAATTACAGGCGAGAAATTTTGGGAGTGGGGCGTGGCAACCTGGGTTCAACAAATCACAATCACCTGAAGGCAGGTGATTTTGGGTGCCGCCAAAGCTTAAGAACCACTGCTCTAGGCAAAACCTTTCACAAGTCCCCCTTCTGTAAACTTCCTGCTAAGGTACCCCATTTGTATCCTTTGATCTTTCATTTTGGAGGCCCTTGCCCTCCTCTCCCGGGCGTTCACACACCAGGTGCAGGCTGCATGCCAGGGTGGTGGGCTGGACCAGCTGGTGAGGGTTGAAGTCCAGCCGCTCCTGCGTGCCTGGGTAAGCACACTGGTCTTTGCAGTGTCACTACCCGGAGCCACTTGTCCATGATGAAAATGAGCAGAAGATCCCGCAGCCGTGACAATCAGAAACAATAGGGCTGGGGCTCACCTGCCAAAATGCATTCACCTGTTCATCTATTTAACAGGAACTCAGTGAATATCCAGTAACATCCTTTGCCTGCAGGGAAGATAAAAGGTGGGCGGCCCAAGGAGCTTAGACCCTAAGGGGCAGAAAAAGCATACGAAAAGAGGGGCGCCTGGGTGGCTCAGCTGGTTAAGTGTCTGCCTTTGGCTCAGGTCACGATCTCCCAGGCTGTGGGTTCAAGCCCTTCGTCGGGTTCTGTGCTGACAGCTCAAAGCCTGGAGCCCGCTTCGGATTCTGTGCCTCCCTCTCTTTGCCCCTCCCCTGCTTGCACGTTCTCTCTCTGAAAAAAACATTAAAAAGAAAAAAAAAGCGTATGAAAGAGACAGAAAGATAAATGTGACAAAAGTCCCAAGATAAAGGGAAAGGCCACAAGGAGACAGGGAGAGATCAAATCCCAGTGGTCTACAGGGATTAGATGTGGGTTTTCAGAGCTAACAAAGATAGCGCCATTAACAGCAGCACCGGCAATAAGCACCCTTTGTGGTTTTTTCAATTTATTTTGAGATAAAATTCACATATCATTCTTTTTTTAAAGTGTATTTATTTGAGAGAGACAGAGAGAGCATGAGCAGGGGAGGGGCAGACACAGAGAATCCCAAGCAGAATCGCGAATCCCCTCGACATCAGCACAGAGCCCAAGGTGAGGCTCAGCCCCACAAACCGTGAGATCACGAGCTGACCTGAGATCAAGAGTCCGATGCTCAACTGACTGAAGCACCCAGGTGCCCCCACCTATCATTCTTTTTTAATTTTTTTTTTAATTTTTTTTCAACGTTTATTTATTTCTTTTGGGACAGAGAGAGACAGAGCATGAACGGGGGAGGGGCAGAGAGAGAGGGAGACACAGAATGGGAAACAGGCTCCAGGCTCTGAGCCATCAGCCCAGAGCCTGACGTGGGGCTCGAACTCACGGACCGGACCGCGAGATCGTGACCTGACTGAAGTCGGACGCTTAACCGACTGCGCCACCCAGGCGCCCCGTCATTCTTAACCATTTAATATGTACAATTCAGTAATTATTACAAAGTTGTGCAACCATCACCACAATCGAATTCCAGAACATTGTCATCACCACAGAAAGAAACCCTGTCTCCATGAGCAGTCCTTCTCCTCTCCCTCCCCCAGCCCTTGGGCAACCACTAATCTACTTTCTGTCTCTACGGGATTTGCCTATTCTGGACATTTCCGATAAATGGAATCATACAATACACACGTGGCTTTTAGTGTGTGGCTTCTTTCACTTAGCATCATGTGGCTGCTTAATGGGAGCAGGGCTTCCTTCTGGGGTGATGAGGCTATTTCCGAACTAGATAGAGGTGATGGTTGCACAACACCGTGAATGTACTAAATGTCGCACTTTAAAGCGGTTCATTCTATGTCTTGTGAACTTGACTCAGCTTTTTAAAAAGATGTTAAAGGTTTCAGAGTAGATGCCCTTGACTCCAAAGCTCCACTTTAGGAATTTCTCCTCTGGGTACACATGGACATATAGGAAATTATGTATTTACAGGGTTGATCACTGCAGCAGTGTTTGAAAGATGGGACTAATAATAATATTAATGTAAATTATAATTTTGTTAATTAAATATATGTCAAGTATATTTAAGACGTTATTTGAGGAAGAAGAAATAACTTTCTAAACCAAAATGAATGCAGGCCCAAAGACGTGAAAGGAAGATAGGATGGGCAAAGGTGTGGGCCTGAAGATTTCAGGTGGGGGGAGATTGTGTATGGGGTGAGAAATGTGGATTTATCTTATAAATGACAGACAGGCACCTGTAGAGACTTGGTCAGACTAGGGCTGGAAGGAAGCTGGAACCGGCAAAAGGTAAGGTGGGTAGAAAAAGGAGGAGGGGTGTGCAGGAAACTGAGGTGTCTTGCGGGGCAGGGAGGAAGGGAATATTGAGGGTAGAGTGCACCCGGGCAGGGGGTTTGCCCCCTGCTGAGGTGGGATCCAGAGGGCAGGGGGGCAGGTGAAAGTGGCCTAGGCCAACAGTGGAAGCATTCGGGGCTCATGTGCAGTGGCTTAGAGAGGAGAAAGCTGCCAGCCAATGGAGAAGAGATTATGTCCTCAGGGGAGGACAGCAGAAAAGGATTGGGAACCATAAAGAAGTTAAAAATTGCACGCTGTTATGTTTTGATCTTTTCCTGAGTGGCTTCTTTTTTTTTTTTTTCATTGTAACAGTTTGTGTTTTTTTTTTTTTTAACGTTTATTTATTCTTGAGAGACAGAGAGAGAGCACAAGTTGGGGAGGGGCAGAGAAAGAGGGGGACGCAGAATCCGAAGCAGGCTCCAGGCTCTGAGCTGTCAGCACAGAGCCCAATGCAGGGCTTGAACGCACAAACTGTGAGATCATGACCTCAGCCAAAGTCGGAGGCTTAACCGACTGAGCCACCCAGGCGCCCCCATAACAGTTTTTATTAAATGTCATACATAAGATTACTTTGTTCCTGTGTCTTTTTGATTGTTTCTTCCTTATATTTGCCCCTTTCCTTTCCAACTTGGCGAGACGTGGCTTTGCATTCAAGGGTATTTTTGGGCTTTGTCCAGTTTCAGTCTAGTGATGACCACCTCGCTGGGTGGATGCCCACGTGGACAGTTGTGCCATTTGCCTTCTCTCGCTGTACTCGTTCAGTGTAGATGACGTGAATTTCTTCCTGTAAGCCTGGACGACTTTGCCAATTTGCCGACCTTTGTCATGTCCTCACCCAACCTGTACTTCATCATCCTTCCAGATGGGCATGGATCCAACGTAGTACTTCTGTCTCAGCTCTTTGGAAAGAGGGGAAGACATAAATTGCCTGCGAATGTGGGAAGGTGCACTGAAATGCCGGGTATGGTTCTTGCTCCGGTCAGAAGTCACAAACGGATTGAACTTCATTTTGGTTGCAGTCGGCAGGCCAAAGCTCGCCTGCTGCGGTTCCAGCGATGGTAGCAAAGGGGAAGAGATGAATGGCTTCTTAATCTTTGTAGACATCCTGTGTCCACGCAAGTGTGTGTGGCGGGGGAGGGAATTCAGGTATAGATCTTTTTGTGTTGGCACAGTATTTTTGGAGAATTATTTCACATCAGTCCACAATTAAATTATCGATGCCTTATGACCTATCAACTCCAACAGGCATATGTGTGCTCAAAGATACACACAAGGGTATTTTCTGAAGTATTGTTCGTAATAGTAAAAATAAGAAACATAAATAGGGAAATGGTTAAAAAATGAGAGTATATCCATACTGTGGAATATTATGCATCAGTTAAAAAAGCACAGGGAAGCTCTCCATGTCCTAATATTAAAAGATGACTACGGTTTATTAAGTGGGGGAAATAAAAGCAAATTATAGAAGGATACCCATGATTTTCAATTGTGGGGAAAGTCTGTCCAAATTCATGCACAGAAATTCCCAAAAGATGCCACTCAACTGTTGCCAGTGGTTAATTCTGGGGAGGATGGGGAGTGACAAGGATGTAAATGCTTCGAAGGGATTATTTCAAATTTTACTTGATATATTTCTGTATTTTGATTCCCCCCCCCCCAAAGGACACGTTTTACTTCTTTAATTTCAAAAAGTAATTGGAAAAAATAGGAATACCTGACCTAAGGGAGTAGTTGTGGGGATGAAAAAAGCAAATACATGACAATGAGCTTCATAAAGCGCTACACCGGTACATACAGTTGTTATTTTTAGCGCACTGTGAGTTTCTGGAGGGCTAGTCACCTTTTGGTTATCAAGTCACCCTATTTGCACAGAGTTTATTCACATATTCATTCCTTCAACTTTACACTGCAATGTAAGTGTCAGGAAGTCAGGGACCCTGTCCACACTGCCCTCCTTTACAGTCCCAAAGCCTGCAACAGTACCCTGGGCTCAATAAACGCTTGCTGAATTATGGGGCGCCTGGGTGGCGCAGTCGGTTGAGCGTCCGACTTCAGCCAGGTCACGATCTCGCGGTCCGTGAGTTCGAGCCCCGCGTCGAGCCCCGCGTCGGGCTCTGGGCTGACGGCTCAGAGCCTGGAGCCTGTTTCCGATTCTGTGTCTCCCTCTCTCTCTGCCCCTCCCCCGTTCATGCTCTGTCTCTCTCTGTCCCAAAAGTAAATAAACGTTGAAAAAAAAATAAAATAAACGCTTGCTGAATTAAAAAGAACAACTTACAAATGAACCTCTGTGTTCCAGACTAGATAGGAGATGATCAAGCGCAGGATGAGACGGCAAGGAACAGGTATCAACTGACAGTTATTTAGCGCGTCCCCAGCCCAGTTCCAGCAATAGGTATCACATGGCTAAATTCTCAGGCAGGCTGGGAATAGCGATCCCGGAAGGTCGCCTACACTCAGAGGCGGAGAATTGCTTACCAAAAGCGGCGAGGGAGGTTGCTTAGCAACCAGACTAAGGAGGCAGGCCGCACTGCGCACGCGTACACTTTGGACCGACAGATGCGGACGTGGTGTTTTGCGCACGCGCGGGAGGCGGCCTCGGGGCATCCGGGGCCTGATGGTTGCTAGGGTGACAGCGATACAACATGGCGGCCGGATCCTAACGCTTTCTGTCGAGGAGCCAGCGCGGAGGGCCCGGTTCAGGACCCTGCCTCAGAGGAGTGGAAGCCAGGGGGCCTCCCTTTCTGCCCCTTTCTTCTCCGCCCAGTGTCGGCAAGGGCTTGTCGTCGACTTCCGCATCCAGGATGAAGAGTGAGCGGGGCCGGGGAGGGGCGGGGCGCGAGGGCGAACGGCGGGGGTCGGGGGGTTGGGAGGGCACGAAGGGGCAGGGTCTGGTCACCAGGGTGGTGGGTCCACTCGGCAGGCCGGGAAGGCGCAGCGTGTGGGGACCCCGAAGCTCCCTGGGCTGTCAGAAGCCGGCGCCCCCGGGGGTTCGAGGCGGGCTTGGGGGCGGTGGGGTCTCAGAGCGACACCCCCCCCCCCGCCCCCGCCCCAGCCCTCCCAGGCATATTTTGGTGTGGAGGTTATGTAACAAGTTTTGAAGGTTTTGTTGTTGTTGCACGCTGGACTGAAACTGGGATTCTTGAACATTCGGCAGTAAGGTAGTGAGCGGTTACTGTGCGGCTTTCTGCCCTTTAATGACATCGGTTTAGGGGAAAATGAGAGGAAAGATGGGCTATTTTATTTTTTTGGGTCAAACAGTAGTGTTTTTACTGGAACTATTTTTGTAGGGATTTTGAAACAACCTTTTGGTGAAAGTGTTACTGGGAAGTTGGGAAATGAAGTGGTCGTCCTAGAAAATGTGACGGTAAAAATTTTACCTATGCTTGGATTTGTGGATTATGAGTAACTGAACTGCAACCAACTTGGATGGGTTTTTTTGTTTTTGTTTTTGTTTTTTTTTACATTACTGTACAGATCTGTATTTCTGCTAGAGGTATGGAAAAATTCGGACCTCCTTTGCCGTGAAAAGATTTAATTACGTATACTTGCAATGTGAAATTTGCATTGTACTCTAAGTGTCCATTGGTAATTGATTATGGCATAAATTGTGAAACAAAGATATTTAAAATAATTTACCCCATTCATACTTTACAAGACATTCTTATTTTGTTTGGGGCTATTGTTTACAGGTTTTTCTTTTTCATTAATGCACCCAAAGCTGTAGTTAGAACACAAGGCCTACAAAAGGCTTTATTTACATTTTTACTTATAGTGTGGACTCATATACACATATTTTTTTCCTTTTTTCCTTCCCAACTATTTACTGTCAGAATTTTGAATCTGTATGAAAGTTGCAAGAAGAATTCATTGACTGTTTATAAATCTTTCACCTAAATGCACCATTTTGCCTTTTGTGTGCCTGCTTCCTTGCACACTCTAAATTATGTACAGTGTTTATTTTGCTGAGCGTTTTGAGTTAGTGCACATCAGTACTTTTCACCACTAATAATTCAGTGGGTATCTACTAAGAACAGTGACATTTTACATAATCACAGTACAAACAACATCTTGATATATATGGTACTCTTATCCAATATGCAGCCTATATTTCAAATTTTCCCAGTTATCCCAATAGCATCCATTATAGGTGTTTTTATTTTTTTTCTGGCATCTAATCAAAAAGCACAAATCGCATTTTGTTGTCATATCTCTTTGGCCTCCTTTAAACTGGCACACTGTTCTGCCTTCTGTGTGTTTCATGACATTTTTTTAAGAATTCAGGCCATGGATTTTGCAGAATGTCCTTCAGTTTGGATTTATCTGATTGTTTCCTCATGATTAGCTTTAGCTTAAATATTTTGGTCAAAAATACGTCAGAGGTGAGGTTGTGTCTCTGTCAGTGTGTCTCCAGTTTTGTTGAAGTTAGGTTTGATCATTTGATCATTCCATTTATTCACTTTTGCCTCTTAGACCTTTCCTGCCCCGGTGCTAGAGGTTACCACTCTTACAGTTTCACTTAAGTCTATGTCTGTTTATATAAATGTGTATCTGTATATGTAATGTAATCTGTATCAGCATATGTAAATGTGTCCATCCCCCCCTTTTACTTATTTTTAACAAGAATTTATTTTTTTCAAAGTTATTTATTTTGAGAGAGAGAGAGAGAGCACGCACACAAGTGGGAAAGGGGGACAGATGATCCAAAGCGGGCTCTGTGCTGACAGCAGAGAGCCTGATGCGGGGCTCAAACTCACGAAGCAAACTGTGAGATCATGACCTGAGCCGGGGTCAGACACTTAACCAACTGAGACACCCAGGTGCTCCAAGATTTTATTTTATTTTATTTTTTATTTAAAAAAAATTTTTTTTTTAATGTTTATTTATTTTTGGGACAGAGAGAGACAGAGCATGAACGGGGGAGGGGCAGAGAGAGAGGGAGACACAGAATCGGAAACAGGCTCCAGGCTCTGAGCCATCAGCCCAGAGCCCGACGCGGGGCTCGAACTCACGGACCGCGAGATCGTGACCTGGCTGAAGTCGGACGCTTAACCGACTGCGCCACCCAGGCGCCCCCCAAGATTTTATTTTTAAGTAATCTCTATACCCAACGTGGGGCTTGAACTTACAACCCTGAGAACTTACAACCCTGAGTCACAGGCCCTACTGACTGAGCCAGCCAGGTGCCCCTGTCCCCCCTTTTTAACGTTAATGCTGGCATTATATATTGTATACTCTAACAATAAATAACACATATTATACATAAAACATTTTATTTATTTATTTTTTAAAGTTTATTTATTTTTGAGAGAGAGAGAGCGAGCACCGGCAGAGAAAGAGAAGGAAGGAGAGAATCCCAAGCAAGCTTTGCACCGTCAGTGCAGAGCCCGACACAGGACTTGAACTCACAAACTGTGAGATCATGACCTGGGCTGAAATCAGGAGTTGGATGCTTAACTGACTGAGCCACGCAGGTGCCCCTCATATAAACATTTTATGTATGTAAATACTTGCATTTTTTAAATGTCCTTTAAACCTTTGGGTGTTTGTTTTTTGTTTTTTGTCTTTTTTTTTTTTTAGTGGGTATTATTTGATATGTTCTTTTAAATGGCCATGTTGGTAGTGTTCAATTAATTGGTTTAGTGTTACATCTTTATTCTTCTACTTTAAATTTTTTTTTTTTTTCAACGTTTATTTATTTTTTGGGACAGAGAGAGACAGAGCATGAATGGGGGAGGGGCAGAGAGAGAGGGAGACACAGAATCGGAAACAGGCTCCAGGCTCTGAGCCATCAGCCCAGAGCCCGACGCGGGGCTCGAACTCACGGACCGCGAGATCACGAGATCCCGCGAGATCGCGAGATCGTGACCTGGCTGAAGTCGGACGCTTAACCGACTGCGCCACCCAGGCGCCCCTTTATTCTTCTACTTTAAAATCCAGTCTGAGTACTGGTGAAACCTATTGTCACGTGGGTGTACATCCTGATCAATTCAATGCTTGACAAATATGTAACGACGGAGAAAAAAGATTCCAGAACAGGAAGTCACAGAGACAGAGTCATGGAAGTAGCATGGATAGGAAAAGTGAGTAATGGTGAAATTGGACTCCTAGCCTGGGGTCAGAGTGGGGCCAGGAACGCTAGGTCATCATGTTGGTCTTCATTTTATGGTTTTCTACGTGTATTTTCTACCTTGTTTTCTAGGCAAGGCCCACGTGTTTAGGGATGTATTATTGAGCATTCTGGGAAGGTGGCCTTCTTATTGTTTTGCATCATGTGCAGTTGTAGGGAGCAGGGAGTAACACAGGAAAGTTGTTATGAGCATGGGCTTTAGAGCCAGGCAGACATGGCGGTCTCCCGCAGGTTACTGACCTTTCTTCATTATTCTGGTTATTGATTGCTTCCTGACAAATCACCCCAACTTGGTGGCTGGCGATACCAACAAACTCATCTCTCGTGGTCCTGTGGGTGGCCTGGGCTCAGCTAGGCAGGCCTCACTTGGATCCTCTCCTGCAGTCGCAGCTGGATTGTGGCTGGGGCTGGAGTCCTCTCCGAAGTTTGCCACTCTCGTGTCTGGCGGCTGACGCTGGCTGTCCCCTGGGACCTTCCCGTGGCCTGTCAGCTGGAACGCTACTGCCTCCACGTGCCTTGACCTTCCTCGCGGGGTGGCACTTGGGTTCTGAGGATCAGCGTCCCAAGGGTGCGAGGTGGGAGCAGCATGACCTTCTCTGACCTAGCCTCGGGAATGTCATAGCGTCCCCTCCGCATCCCCCCAGAGTTGAGCGTAGAGAACGCAGATCGCACCTCTTGATGGAGGAGTGGCATAGGTACGTACTAAGACGAGCTTGTGGCCTGCGCTATCTAGAAGCTCCCACCTTTGGAAAATAAAATCCTCCACACTTAGATGGATAGATTGATTGATGTAGAAGACTTTCATTTTAAGTAATCTCTACACCCCTCGTGGGGCTTGAGTTCACGACCCAGAGATCAAGAGTCGGGCACTCCACCCACTGAGCCAACCAGGCGCTCCTCCACACTCCGTCTATCCTGGTTAGTATAAACCTGCTTGTGCCTGTGTAGCCTAAGAATACCTATTTTATAGGGTCATTTCAAAGATTAAATGAGATCGGCTGTGTAAAGCTCACAGCGTAGTGTCTGGTAGGTGATAATTATAAGTGAGTTCTTATTTGCTCTCCCGGTGGATGAAAGCAGGGGTGTAGAAGGGAAAAGAATGACAGGTCCTTGCTTGGAAGGAATTTACTGTTGTCTAACCTAGTGCAAGTGCCCATTTTTTTTACTGTCTGAACGTTTCAATGGATTATTCAAGACATGCCTATAAAAGGAGAAAAAACCCTATGTGTTCTGAAGGCAGTCACCATTTTCCTATTATTTCACAAAGAATTTTTTAAATTATCTGTTGTTATTGCAGACGCTTCAGCTTCGTGTCCCTCATAAATGTATTTTTACAGAACCAAAGTCGCAGGAAACCTCAAATACTCTTGTGTCACTCTCCCTTCCCAGTGCGCCTCTCACCTTCTGTTTTTATAAATAGATGCATCGGGGCGCCCGGGTGGCGCAGTCGGTTAAGCGTCCGACTTCAGCCAGGTCACGATCTCGCGGTCCGGGAGTTCGAGCCCCGCGTCAGGCTCTGGGCTGATGGCTCAGAGCCTGGAGCCTGTTTCCGATTCTGTGTCTCCCTCTCTCTCTGCCCCCTCGCCCGTTCATGCTCTGTCTCTCTCTGTCCCCAAAATAAATAAACGTTGAAAAAAAATTAAAAAAAAAAATAAAATAAATAGATGCATCAACTAGGGGC